TCTCATTTAGATGTGCGGTTTTTACCATCATGTTTTTGATGAAAATTGAGCTCCAGACGCCGATATTAGTTTTCGTCTATCTCCTATAGAAAAGGGCGTTAGTTTAAAAGTGTCCAACTTTTGTGTGTACACTTTGGAAGACACAATAATTAGAGGCAATCAATCATTTTTTTGGATGCTGAATCCGAAGAAACTACTTACAAGTTATAGTAAACCAAAAATTCCATGATAACATAAAATCAAATTAAGTTTAAACTAAATTAAAATTGGTTAATCTATACTATACATAAAATCCTTATATATACTATACCTATATAAAATCCTTAAGTGACTGACATACTGATTAATCACGATCCTGCTCAAACCACTCAACGTAAGAAGCTCATTTTTGGCATACAGGTTGATTCTAGGGTGTAGAGGTTCGATAAGAAGGGATTTTTCGAAATTCCAGTTCCAAGGGGGTGAAACCACCCCTCAAATATTACAATATTTTTTATTTAAAAAACGGTCAAGTTTTCGAAAAAAACGCTTAAACACGTATATTTTATTTTGTTTTTTCACATATTTTAAGATTTTTTAAAAATGTATACTTTGATTAATCACGATCCTGCTTAAAGCGCTTGACGTAGAAAGCTGATTTTTGGAAAACAGATTGACTTTAGGGTGTAGAGGTTCGATAGGAAGGGATTTTTCGAAACTCGAATTCTAAGGGGGTGAAACTATCCCTCAAATATTAAAATATTTTTATTTAAAAACCGGTGAGTTTTTCGGAAAAACTCTTAAACAGGTATATTTTATTTTGTTGTTTTTCATATTTTAAGATTTTTTATAAATTTTTACAGGATGTTTCATAAAATATGACCATTGAGTAATCACGATTCTGCTTAAACTTCTTTGACGTTTAAAGCTGATTTTTGGCAGACGGATTGACTGTGAGGTGTAGAGATTCGATAAGGAGGGGTTTCTCGAATCTCAAATTCCAAGAGGGTGAAAATGCCCCTCAAATATTACAATCTTTGTTATTTAAAAAACGGTTAGTCTTTCGGGAAAACGCTTGGACAAGCATAATTTATTTGATTTTTTTACATATTTTGAAATTTGTTAAAAAATCATACAGGGTGTTCCAAAAAGTTGGGTAATTTCTTAACCACGATTCTGCTTGATGGAAAAAGCTTATTTTTGGCAAACGGATTTTTCGAAAGTCAAGTTCCAATGAGATGAAACTACCCCTCAAATATTACCAAGTTATTATAATAATATCGCCATATTGTTTTTTCTCATGCTGACATAAATGTAAGAAAATTTTAACCAGTTTGTATGTTAATGGAAATTCTTGCTTTGCTTTATCACCACCATTACAAATGATTAATTCGACGCGAACGAAGTCGCTGGTACACGCTAGTATATCCATAAAATACCTAAATATTTATATAATTTATATTAAACACATTTTATAACAAAGCGCATATATTTCTAAGAAATAAATTTCCATACTTCAAAGTTCAGATGCAACAAACAGGACAAAGATGATGAGTCACTTTAGTAGCTTGAAAACGTGGGTGATGGACTCGATACCCTTTGATACCGCGTCATATATATATTTTTTTGTTTTATCTTGAACTGTTTGTCATTTATTGAAATATTTATCTGTAATATTAATTATTAATTATTTACAAGATAACAAGCGTTCAAAGGTTGGGCTTAAAATATTACAGGCATTCTACTTATGTTTTCTAGTGTCGATAACATTGTATCAAATAGTAAATACTTTAAAATAATAGAACAAACTATTGTATATATTTTCCGTTCTTTAAAGTTCACTTTTAAGTATTTAAAAAGAGAACACACTTGTCTAATTTGCATATTTTCTATATTTTTTCTGTTGAAAAACAGAAAAAATTGGTCAAGTACGAGTCGGACTCGCGCACGAAGTGTTCTGTACCATTCATTATCTATACAACATTACACACTATATTATTATAAACTTTTTTCCGATTTAGCTGAAATTTTGAATGCACGTATGTTTAAGCTGTGGTATAAGTAATTTAAAAAAAATGAAGAAACACATTACTAAAAATTGTATTAATCAATAATATATATGTAAGAAGTAAAAATATATATGTAAAAATATGTAAAAATTAAAAAAAAACGATTAAAAAAAACTCGCCTTGACTAGGATTCGAACCTGCCTTACTACGGCTCCAACGTCATAGCAGCGTAAAGTCCTAACGCTTTAACCACGCGGCCACCGAGGACTTGAAAGATTCTATGTAAAATTCTTACTTAAAACATAATGTTTAGTGAAAGTACTTTTTTATTTATAAACATTTATTTAATTCTGTTTTTAGCATTTGTTCTTATAGCGGCAACATAGATACATTAGGGAGTTTTCGTTGCTTACAAATTGCAATTCCGGTTAACGCTAATTGACAACTTTGACATTTCAATTTCGATTATCGTATATCGTAACCGCTAACTGCCGATATTTTACGGACGATAGCCAAAGCCGTTAACATAGCGGTACGCATGCGCACTAGCGCAGTAGAACACAACATTGACCTAACCTAGATCTAACCTAACCTCGTTCTATTTTGTTTATGTTTTGATTACTTATTTTATCTGTGTTAAACTCGTTGGGAATTCTTAGTGCTTAGCTTTGCACTCTTGGTCAGATAATATTTCTAGGTTAAACTCTGCTCGATATTCGATGTTGTTTTCAAATCCCTCCAACAACATATAGCATCCTCCAAATCCGATTCATTACTAGAGTCCAATAAAATTAAATTGTCCATCCTATATAGCGATACCCAATAAAGTCATATAAGGCACTTTCAAATCAAACAACAATACAAAAACCAAAAATCAAAACACTACGCTACGGGCTGTGCTCTCAGTCAGCTGTCAGTTTTCGGTTATCGTATCGTATGTCGGCTCCGAACCGATGAACCGAAAGTCCGAAAACTGTTTTTTTATCTGTCAAAATAGCGGTTATGGTTACGTATCCGTTAACCGTACCGTTGAATTTTTTTAAAGCAACAAAAACTCCCTATTATCTGTAAAAATTTCAACTGTCTAGCTATAACGCTTCATAAGATAGAGCTTTGTAACAGACGGACGGACAGACGGATAGCAAAGTCTTAGTAATAGGGTTCCCGTTTTTACCCTTTGTGTACGGAACCCTAAAAACATGGATTTTTTTATAAAATTGTATATTTATTGTTTATATTTCATTTGCAAACAGGCAAAGCTAATTTCCGCTCATTAAAGTTGCTAAAATTTACTTATATTTTTTTCAGTGTTGACAAAACGACAATTTTGTTAGACATTCTTCCATTTTAATTCAGTTTTATTATTTTATTACCGTTTTTTTTTATCTAAAAACCTTAAACAAATAATATTGATAAACAAACCTTACTGTACAAAACAGATGTAAACAGAAAAATGGTACGTTACCGCTGATTTATTAAGAACGTATAGTAACGCAGATAGTATATGATTATTAATAGTTATAATTGTATACGTCACTGGCAAGTCTTGCTATTGGATCGGTATTTACGTATGTGGAAGTGAATCGCGTAGAGATCTTATTAAGTCGGAGTGAGAAAAATGCGTCGGTGTGCTGTCACGGCGTTGCCACATTTATCGGAGGTACAGGCTGGTTGAAAGACCCCTTTTTCTAAATGTTTTTTTCGGAAGGATAACTAGATAAAATCATTAGATCTATTTCTGGGAATCTGAAATCGAGTTATAAGAATATCGTTATGGTGTCTATTTTTTTTATAATGACAAAACGTCAATAATCGCGGTAATTTGAAAGTCAACTTTTTAACACATATCACGCGATAACTCAAGAACTACTTTAGATATTGAAACTTTCTTTTTATTACTCATGCGGGGAAACTAGTATCTTTTCGCATTCTTTTGGAGTCGAAAAGACGCTAATTGCCCACTTCACAATTACCACACTAGTTTTGAGCAAATTTAATGTCGATTTGAGTGCGACAAGTAAACTTCTCGCACCCAAATTTTCATTGGCACACGCACATTGACAAGCAAAAAGCCAGTCTCGAAGTGTCAATATTAAAGAAGTGAGGTTGACATTTAAATATTTTTTGTTTATTTTATTACGTTGCTTTTGAATATGTCTCTTTTATTATATTATAACCACCATTATGAAGAGAAGCAACGTTATAATTCCTTCATTTTCTACTCTAAAATTCGATTTAAAAATTTGAAGTGTCGAATGTCATCTTTTGCATTCATCTATGGGGTGTTCCAAAAGTTGTTTTTCTTGTCACGAGATTTTGAAAGTTTCTTTTGTTTACATGATGAAATATAACAAAAGACACATACTAAAAAGCAACGTAATAAAAAATAGTATTCTCGTGCGAAGTTGTCGATTGCCCACGAGAGCGAAGTTGAGCGCACGAGCGAAGCGAATGCGCTCATTAGTTCACACTAGTTGCACAATATACTATTTTTTTTTCTTTGTTCGAATCCTAGACAAGATGTTTAAATGAGAAAAAATTGATAGGCTTCTTTTTTTATTTAAAAAACGCGTTCATCAACTTGCAGTGCATGACATTTTTTGTTTGTAAAAATTTTCACATACTGTCTGCGAAGAAAATATAGCAGAAACATTAAGAAATATAAAAAACACAATCAATTAATTATTTCTAATGGATTTTGAGACATCAACTTTTGAATTCAAAGTTCAAAAAACTCCTACCAATGTGTAGCACAAACTCAATTCCACTTATTTTTACCAAAAGTGGTAAACTTCTAGGCATTGTTTAATTTTTAACTTGCATTTAGTAATTTACAAGCTATAATAAAATTACAACAGTTTGTTAATAAATAAACAAATAAAGTATTATATGAGATGTACCAACATTGAAATATATTCACACCGAAATATGAAATAGTTTTTAGTTAAGTAATTTTATGTTCAACTCTACCTAACTAGTTTCTTAAGTAATTTTATTTATCTCTTCTTTCAGAACTGATGGAACAAAAGGCCAAATCCTCATGAACGGCAGTGACAGAGATCTGAGTCAGTTCAGGAAGCTCTCAGCGTACATCATGCAAGACAATCAGCTGCACAGCAATCTGACGGTGGACGAAGCCATGAATGTAGCTGCCAAATTGAAAATTGGAGAAAAACCCAGTCACGAACGAGAAGAAATCGTAAGATATCTTTAAAAATAACTAATTTGGCATTAAAATACGCTGTTTTTCGGCTGATCTGAAAACATAGGCTTTCTATCATTTTTCTTTCTAGAAATAACAATGTTCAAGGCTAGAAAATATGACAAAAAAATATGACAGAAAGTATTATTACAGTACATTGCTGATTCGAACGATAATTTGCTGATTTTAAGTGTATTTTGCTGGTTCTAAGCATTATCAGAATAAAAAAAATAAATATTATTAGATTATTTAAGAAAGGGAGATTTTCACAAATCTAATATTTGTCATAACATTCATTAATTAACATAACATTCATGGGACACAGGGCACAGAATAAATTTTAATAACGCCAAAATTATAACGAAAGAAGCGATAGCCTCTAAAAGTAAAATAAAAGAGGCTTTTTTAATACAATCTAATAAAAATAAATTTATTGCTTATGCATCTGTAGATGTTAGTAATGTATGGCAATCGCTTCTTTGATTTTAAAGAACATAACATACGTAAAAATTAAAAAGTAATCATACAGAAAGTTTGGGGTTTTTTGGTTTTATCTTATTAAGTAATTGCTATCATATTTTTTTAAACAATGTTTATACCTTTATTACGGGTTTATTCCTTTAAAAAAAACTTAAACCTTTACTCTTAAAACAAACTGGCCTAACCAGCAAAAAAGCCTTAACGTTTTAGGGGGTATATCTCCTCTCATAATACAAAAATAAACAAAAAAAAATAAAGAAAAAACTATAACAACAGAAAATATAACTACAGAGAACACTAGTTTTTCTAGCAGACATATACAGGGTGAGTCTTAAATAAGTGCAAATATTTTAAGGGCTGGTAGATCTCGATAAAAGTAACATATTTTCTCTTTACCGTTTTTTAAATAAATCTAAAATAACTGAGATATTTTACTTTAAAAAACTACCAAAAAAAAATTTTCAAAGTGTGGAAAAATGGACTTTTCTGGATTTTCTTTTTTGTAAATTTAATCTACTACCTATGTTGCCATATTATCAACAAATTATATTTTTTAACAAAAAACTAAAAAATTTTCCAAAAAAAATTCAAAAAATTACAAATTCCAAAACAGAATTAAAATAATCGTGTTTCTGGGGTCGAAATATACTACCCCTAAAAATATTTGCACTTATTTAAGACTCACCCTGTATATTAAAATCTCTAACTGATAAACTGGTATTGCATTATTCTTTTCTTGTTTAGATATCGGAAATATTGGATACGTTGGGTTTACTAGACCACAGAAAAACTATGACCAGTGGTCTGTCAGGTGGCCAAAAGAAACGTCTCTCTATAGCCCTGGAACTTGTCAGTAATCCACCAGTAATGTTCTTTGATGAACCCACAAGTGGCTTAGATTCCTCATCTTGTTTTCAGTGTATATCTCTGTTAAAAACTTTAGCTAGCGGTAATATATTACTATTTTTATCGAAAACGACATTTTGATTTATTTTTTGTTCGTTTAAAGGTGGCAGAACCATTATTTGTACCATCCATCAACCTTCTGCGAGGTTGTTTGAGATGTTCGACCAATTATACACTCTTTCCGATGGCCAGTGCGTTTATCAAGGTTCGACGAAGAGATTGGTAGAGTTTCTTGCTAATTTAGGGCTTCAGTGTCCCTCATACCATAACCCAGCTTCGTACATTATTGAGGTAAGTGCTTACCATAGATAAAATAAAATAACCATCTATTAAGATAGATAGGAAGCTGAATAGTAAAATGTTGAGTCAAAGCGCCCCTCCGTATCCTTAGTCAAGACTACTTTTCTGCTCTAATAGTCCAAGAAATTGACCTTCCAATACGAAGTAAAAACTTGAATTTTTGATATACAGGGTGCTACAAATTTGAGGTACGAGCATTGGTATCTCGGAAACCGTAAGAGATACGAAGATGGCTAAATTGGGGCAAAGTTACGCTTTAAGGATGTTCACCAAGATGTCATCAAAAAAGTTTTAAAAATTTCAAGGATTGCTGAGTTTTTTGAAAATCAATTTTATTTTTTCCTGGCGTTACTTTTTAGAAAATCAAAAAAACTAATTGCACATTCTCATGGCTACTTTATTAGGGCTATCTGATAGTATTTTTATATTTTCAAATTAGCTGATAATTTGTGAGATACAGAGGCCAACTTAATTTTTTTAAATACGGACCTGCATTTTTTATTCCAAGTTTTGAAAGAACTCGGTCTCCTGAGTACAATGATATGCCACACTTGATACTTTTTTTTGTTTTAGGTACTTTAACAATAACAAAACTATTTAATTATTATTTAAAATAATTTCAAGTCCGACTCTGGCTTTTTAAATTATTTAATCTGATTATATTTATCTCAACAATATGGATCAGCGCTAATTAACATTGAATAAGGAAAATCAAGCCAATTGAAAGATTCAAATAAATAATATCCAGGTCAGCAATTTGAAAATATTATTTTTAACTTTTTTTATTGTGAATTTGAAATCTCCGTGTACGATCTAATAATATGCATAATATTAATCGTAGTTATAATAAATAAATCAACTTCTACAAACTAGTTTCCAATGCTCTACATGTTCGAAAGGGTTATCCCCGTTCCTAATGCACAAAAATGTATTTTTCGTTCAATTTTATTTATAGCTCTTTAAACATATCTTCGTCTTATACTTCCGAATGCATTCTGTGCTCTTTACTGTAAATGTTGAAATGTATTGATATCACTTTTAAAAATGACGTCAAGTATAATGTCCAATAATTTTATATTATTGTATTGCATTTGATTTTCCGTATTCAATGTTTTACCCCATGTCATTGTTAAGTTTGAAAGCTTATCAATATTGTAACAATGAATAGATTAAATATTTAAAAAAAAAAACAGAGCCGGACTTGAAATTAGTTTAATTAAATTGTGTTCAAAAATCCGAAACAAAAAAATATTAAGTGTGGCATATCATTGTACTCAGGAGATCGAGTTCTTTCAAAATCTGAAATAAAAAATGCAGGTCCGTATTTAAAAAAATCAAGTTGGCCTCTGTATCCCACAAATTATCAGATAATTTAAAAATCTAAAAATGCCATCAGTTAGCCCTAATAAAGTGGCTATGAGAATGTGCAATTAGTTTTTTGATTTTCTAAAAAGTAACGACAGGAAAAAATAAAATTGGTTTTAAAAAAAATCCATTTTTCCCAAAATAACTCAGCAATCCTTGAAATTTTCAAAACTTTTTTGATGGCATCTTGGTGAACATCCCAAGGCGCAACTTTGCCCCAATTTAATCATCTTCGTATCTCTTACGGTTTCCGAGATACCAATACTCGTACCTCGAATTTGTAGCACCCTGTATAAGTTACTTTGAAAGATCTAAAAACGATTTGTGAAAGATTTTTTTTTAAATTCACCCCCGAGATGGGGTGAAATAAATTAAAAAAAAATATTTTTTTTAATTCACCCTTAAGATGGGGTGAAATAAATAGAAAAGGTATTTTTTTAAGTTTTGGAGAAACTGTAAAGACTAGAAAAAAATCAAATAAGAATTGTAGAGCATTCAATTTTACATATTAATAGTCTCTATACTTTTTTTGCTCAAAGCAGTACTGATAGGGTGTCTAGAAGTAGGGGACAATTTTTATTAAGTCCTTACCGTTTCTCTGAAATTTGAAAAAAAAACATTTATTTTTTTTCACCCCATCTAGGGGTGAATTTTAAAAATATGAATTTTTCAGCTACTTATAATTTTTTTTAAATTTCTGCTATCATCCCCTAGCTTCTAGCAACCCTATCTCGGGTAATTTTGATCTGAGAAAAAAAAGTATAAAGTTCATTTCTATATAAATTTTGACGCTCCACAACTGTTATTTGAACTTTTTTTTCTAGTTCTTACCGTTTCTCCGAATATTCGAAAAAATAATTTTATTTATTTATTTCACCCCTACTCGGGAGTGAATTTAAAAAATCTTTCAAAATTTTTCATTTTTCTTGGACTATAAATGTTTTTTATACAAGGTGTTCTAGAAATAAGTGCAAGTATTTTAACTGGTAGTATTGTTCAACCCCAGAAACACGCCTATGTATTTTTTTTTCGCGAAAAAAATTCGGAATTTCTCAAAAAAATATTGGATTTTTTTTAGTTTTTAGTTAAAAAACATAATTTCTTGATAATATGGCAACATAGGTAGTAGATTAAATTTACAAAAAAGAAAATCCAGAAAAGATCCAGTGGTTCTCAAAATTTGAGCAAAAGATCATTTTTTTTTGGAAATTTTCAAAGTAAAATAACTCCGTTATTTTGGACTTATTTGAAATACAATAGAGAGAAAATATGTTTCTTTTATCGAGATCTACCACCCCTTAAAATACTTGGACTTATTCCTGAAACACCCTGTATTTATATTTGTATCCAAAGGATTCATTTGTGAAGTTACTCTGATACATTAGTAGGTGTATCAGAGTAACTTTAATAAAACAAAAATATATAAATTTTACAGTTTATTAAAAATAATTTTGTCTATAAACTAGTAATTAAATCACAATATTTTTGATAAAACTTACATAAATATAGTTAACAGAAATATATAAAAACTAGCTGATTTACATGCTGCTGCATAATTACAGTGGCTTATTTTAAAAACGGAATAATTTTGCAGTAAGCACTTCAAATATAATAGTGACTATTTTTTAAATTCGTTTTTGCATTTAATTTATTATGATTAGATCGCCTGTGGTGAATATGGCGACCATAGCAGGACTCTGGTCAACGCCATAGAGAACGGCAAGTTAGACGTTAGAGAAGGAGTACCATTGCCAAAGTTCAACGTAAACGATGGCCTCAATAATGCGAGCAAATTTGCCCATGACATTAAAAATATTATTCCAGTTATGAATCCCGCTGGTTGGAAGTCCGACCCTGTATATAATGCAACTACAACGCCGAGTTTGCCGGAAAATGTAGTCAATGATATCGCCAAAGGTACGACACTGTTTTCTTTCTATTACCATTATCCTGTTTTTATTTAAATTATTGTAAAGGGAATAATTTCAAATTGATTCGACATAAATTTACCTTAGAACCCTATATCATATATATAGTCTATAAAATGAATAACTTTGAATTTTGACCATTATTTCTTACCAACACGGCAAATATAAAATCCCTCTGTCAAAAAAGTTACTGATATTCTTTAAATTGAGTGCCTGAACGAATCAGATAGGTAACTCTTTTTACTTTCGTGAAATAGAAAAGGAAAATAATAAAACAAGTGATAGTTCTTTCTCTTTTACCAAAAATCTACACGAAATGTCATAATTGTCAAAAGTAAAATGTCATCAGCTTTTGACATTTCTAAATATCAGACCAATGCCGTCTCTAATAGAACAGCCTCGGAGCGGGATTTATGACATCACGCTAGTTAGATACTATGGATTAATAAATATGTGTTATACATGGAAAACATAACTATTCCTCGTATTTTTGGTTTGTATTTTAAAATCAATGTTTTTTTTTTCAAATACAAACCAAAAGTCCGAGGAATAATTATATATAATGTATTCTACAACGCCGAGTTTGCAGGAAAATGTAACTAGCAATGATATCGCCAAAGGTACGACACTGTTTTCTTTCTATTACCATTATCCTGTTTTTATTTAAATTATTGTAAAGGGAATAATTTCAAATTGATTCGACATAAATTTACCTTAGAACCCTAGATCATATATAATTCTTTTTTTGTTGAACAGGCGATGTTTCTACTGTATCATCCTTGTCGAGGACCTATCGTCCACGCGCCAAATTTGAACATTAATTTTAAAAATTTAATTTGTAAAATATAATATTTGAACAATAAATTGAATGTTTACTGTCACAAAAATTAAATTATATATAAAGTACATTTAGCCACTCCGTACAAATATCAATATTCTTAGGAAATCTAACCAGAAAGTATCCATGGGGTTTAATATAATTAAAAGAACAACAGAATACTTTACTTGCCTATGAAAAGATAATTCGGGGACCTTTATATTAGAACTTCCTTACACCAAACACTTTCTAGTCATTTTACGAGTATTTAAAAAGTCCAACAAAAAAAATAGAAAGATAATTACAGAGACTTAAAATTAATTTCTCACTGAACACACTTGCATCCTTGGCTATATAAAAGCGGTCGATAAAAGAGTAATTAATTCAATTTTCAAAATAAAAAACGCAAAAACAAGCATCGTTACACAATGCAAATAAAATTATGACAATATGATGACAATGAAAAGTTGGTTTCCATAACAATGTATTATTTGTACATTCTAAACCGTATAAAATTGCGATTATTTTGGAAATACGTACAACTTTTACTGCGCATGCGCAAAGTAGGGTTCTCGGAAAAGACAAACCTATTGAACGTTTCATAAGTGCAATAAAGAAGGTTTGAAATTGGCATGTCGTGATGTTGGAGACATATTTTTTAATATTACACTTTATGGGCGTTGATTTATCCACGTAAGTATATTGTCAAGGTGCAAGAACAGTTAACCTAATAGGACTGCTCATTCAGCCAAAAGTGTCGGCCAGGTGCATGCGAAAACTACTCGCTTTGTGACGTCATTGTAGCCCTTGTCATGGTTATTAGTCTTTATCCGGCAACCAATAATACACACACGTGCATTATTGGTTACCGAATGCAAAAAGTTCATTATTTAATTTATTTATTTAAACACCTTATATGTATGCAGTATAGAAAATTAACTGTATAAATCGTATTAAATACTCGGATAATGCATTTTTAAGAACAGCAGATCCCAGCATCACCTTTTGCAAGCATTCTTTTTAGAGTACTTCCATATTTTGCTTTAAAATAATTAATAAACAAAATCGTGGGCACTTAGTATGCACTTTGTCACAATCCACAACACAAAATGAACGTATTTATACACTCTATAGCTCTAAAAAACTTTAAAGACACCTTTTTCACATTTAAAATTGACAAAATAATTAACTCAAAATTTCTCAGCTGTTATTTTTATAAGTTTACCATAGGCAACTAATAATACACACCATCATGACAAGGCCACGAAGGCTTTGACAAGGACTACAATCACGTCACAACTGTCAGCTGAAGCGCGGGAAGAGGCGAACGTACGTCTTATGAGGATGAGCAATCCTATTAGTTTACCGTTCTTGGTCAAGGTGTATGTGGCTAAACTGTATTACTGGTTGCCTACATAACCGCAACGTGCATTGAGGAACCTGGCGAATTCGCCAGAAAATAAAAGAATATTACAGAATTCTTTAGAACGTTCCAGAAACACTCGCCAGAGAGTATATAAAGCCCGCGCTTGGCAGTTGGACAGTTTGAAGTTTGAATATACCGCGTTTGGAAATTGTGAATTAATTGGCGAAGGTGCCAGAGTTAGAGTAATAGTAGTTGCATAAATTGTGTTTTATAATTAGTATAAATTGTGTGTACAGAGTGAGAAAGAAATAAATTCGTTAAGTATTTTATCGTGAGTTTAAATTAGTGGACCCACGGAATCCGTAACAATATTATGAAAATAGGGCTAAAAGTAAAAAAATATAACACTTTAAACTTGACGAAAAAATTCTCCGTTGCGTTTCTTCTTCTTGTTTTATGATGGCTCTGCTACAAGGCAACCGCCAGCTTAATTTGAGAGTGACCAAGATGTTGACTGGCTCTAAACCATATCAAGGCCACTGATTCTTATCTGATTAAATGTATAATGGGTAAATTTTAATATAAATAACTTCTATGAAGGTAACCTGTGACTGTAAAATGTTATTTCTCCAAAAAATCCTTTATGGGTATTTCGCCACTGCACTGCAAGAAAATCTACAAAATAAAATAGTTATTTTTTGTAAACACTTCTGCGTTAAACCTAAACGGACACTGCTTGTCAGAAGTTATGTTTACAGTTATACAAATTTTCCTAACAAAGAAAAAAATGCTTAACGTTTCGGAAAGTTTATCTCTTTCCGTCGTCGGAAGCCAAAAAATACAAAGAATAAAGGAAAAAACTATTTAAAATATTTAAATTCAACTATTCGAGAACACTTGACTTTTTTTTAAAACAGATACGTCTACAAGAAACCGTTGACGTTCAAAGGATTTTTTTGGAGAGATGAATCCGCCACATAGGTATGGACATTTTTTAAAATTATCAACAAACAGACTGCATTCGGAAACTGGAACAAAAAAAAATAGAAAGTTGGGCTTTCTATTTTAAACAACTTTAAGAATATATAAACAAGTGAAAATCTTAAATAGGAATCATGATACAGAGCTTTTTCGGAACACGGAATCATCTTGTATGTATGCATTAATTTGTAGATGTATGTTTATTTAAATACTAGTAAACGCAACTAATTTAAATGGGTAAACTTTGTAATATATCTTATTAACAAAACAATGCAAAAAGTTTTATAAAAATTAGTTTACTTTATTATCATCAAAATTATCATTCCGGAAATCCCAAAAAAAGCGGAAAAGCCACTCACAAATAGTTTTTTTTTATTAAAATGTGATTAAACAAATACTTCAAACTTTCTGAGTTGCTTAAAGAGACTAAGAACTGTTAAAAAAATCTTGGGAAATAAACTATTATTAGTGAAAATATGAATAAGTTGGTAAAAATCTGTAAATTTTTGGACTAAGAAATGTTTGCCCATTTTTTTTATTATCATAAAATACAGGGTTATTCACCACATACGACACGGAGTATTGTAGCTAAACGATTAGATTTTTACAAAATGTAAGTTTTGAGTTCGTTGAAGGACTATTAGAGCTACAATTCAAAAATATTTTTCCAAGATACAGGGTGTACCAAATAAATAAAAAATATCAAAGTTGTATTTTTTTAAACGGAACACCCTGTATATTATTAAATTCTTAGTTTCTACGATTAAAATAAAGACTATATAAAAAAATAGATAGTTTCTATTAATTTTTCACTTGGCTTAGACAAAACTGTAAATATTGATAGTGGGGTAGGAAAATTAATTTCAATAAATTTTTGATATAAATCCAAATTAATCAAAAAATTTATAGGACATTCTAAAAAGATATGATTTAGGTCTTCAACAGAGCCACACTCACAGTTTAGATCTTCCTTCACTTTAATTTTATATAATGGTTCCGTTGCGTTTTTTTTTTCAATATTTAGTCAATTAACCCTACTTTTTACTTATTAAAAGAGAATTTTATTTGCTAAGAAATTGTGCATAAACTTTTTGAGAACAATTAAAAAGTGGTACCCTCTATAGAACAAATTAGAAATGCCAATAGAATTTACATTGACCCTAATTAAAAAAACATTCCACGTTGCCGTGTTAGCATCTTTCATGGAATATTTCCACCAATAAAGCATACAGAGTGACAATTTGAAAACGAACAGTATTTAATATTACCTCTACTGATGATAGTATGAAAATTACGTCAATTTACATTTATCAAGGGGGACAATTGTTGAGGCATTTGTTGTCGTGTTGCTTTCAACCCTTTGGCCCCCAGGGCGTCTACCCCTAAAATTTTAAATGGCAACCCCTATTTCTTTTTCCATGTTTGTGTTCCTTATAAAATTCTCACAAAAATAATGCAGTTTATGTAGAATTCTATAAGAAACAACAATTACAGTTGAGGGTTGGAACCTTTGGTGTTACACAGCAAAATAAAACACTAACTCACCACAATACACCAAAACACTTTTACTTTTACACTGGACACTGTTAGCCTTGTATGTATATTTTTAAAGTAGATCAACCTAAGACGTTTATGGACTAAGACTACTAGATGGCAGGACCGGTTTCCCTACAGAAATATTTTTTTTGTTACTCTGAATTTTGAAGCTACCAATAAAAACAGAGAAAATAAAAATCGATAATTTTCGGACTGTGCCAATTGGTTACTAATCTACCAGATATTTTTTCTAGATATGCTATAAAAGCTGGCAATTATACAATTCGACCATTGTAAATACCCGACAAATTCTTCAACGCCGACGAGGCCGATGTTTCTCACTGATAAGAAATAAAAATGTTTCTATAGATAATTTTCGAGGTATTTTTTCTTTCTGAATGCACATTTTAAAGTATTTTATATTCTTTGTCCCCTTGGCCTATTATCCTGGTCGCACGTATGGAAGTTCTGTTTCTTCTAGTTTTAGAAAATGTTCTTATTTCTTTTTTCTTTGCAGTTGTAGTGTAAAATTAGACTAATTTATTAAGTTTAATTATAGTGTTTAGTGTAGCATGTTAGTGTAGTCTACCAAAAATTGTTTAGTAGTGTTTTTATAGTTTATTTTGTAGTTAAGTAGTAGGTGAAGGGATAATTTTGTTATTTTTTCTTTTTGTTTGATAAATTAGTAATCAAATTGATAATTTGTTCAGTGTAGAATACAAGAATAAGTAGTTGTGTAGTGTTTTTAAGAGATTATATTCGTTTATTTTGTAGTTGAGTAGTAGCTGAAGGGGTATTTGGGTATTTCTTCTTTTTGTTTTTCTTGTAATTGTAGTAGTTCTATTAAGTATTGTGATAGATACACTATATCTTCCTTCAACTTCGTTGAAAAGTGCGTTATCATATAATCTTGGTTTTCTGAAAAAAATCTGATCAAATTTATTTGAAATTAAATTAATCTAGTCTTATTAATCAAATTAAACTAGTCAAATAATAATAATAGTTAGTTTCAAAATACTATACAGGGTGAGTTTCCTACGATGTTCTCTATGGGTATCTCGGAAACTACTGGAAATAGAGAGTTTGGGGAGTTGGTTAATGGGGAAAGAATTGCAGTTTTGTGGGGTCATAAATATGCGCCTTTCGGATTTTTGAAAAAGTTTATCGCTTACTAGATATTTCGAAAAAAAAATAAATTTTGGCTATTTTAAAACTTGTCCCTAATTCCATTATAATATATTTTAGACAAAAAGTTTTCAGATACAAGTTGTAGATAATTACATACCTAATGAGTTTGTGTTTTCTGATTTTTTCTAAAGCCTGTAATTTTTGACCATAGTTGGCCATGACTTCATAAAAATCACCATTTTTAAGCTTTTCAGCGATATAGGTATATATGTTTTTATCGAAAAATTACAGTTAGATACAGAGTTATAGTTATAGCCAATTCTTTTCTTTCTTGGCTAATTTCACTTAGTCATGGTATTCTTACTCTGTTATGATTTATAACATAAAAACACAGAATATATTATTAAACGGTTCGTTACGATTTACATTACGCAAACTAAAATTTCATAATATCACTACCCCATACACTTAAGTTATTTTAGAATTAGCCAAAGTTTAAATTAGCCAAAGTTTTTTTTTCGAAATATCTAGTAATCCATGAACTTTTTCAAAAATCTGAAAGGCGCATATTTATGACCTCACAAAACTGCAATTCTTTCCCCATTTAACCGACTCTCTATCTGCAGTAGTTTTCGAGAAACCCATAGAGAACGTCGTAGAAAACACCCTGTGTATTGAAAATACTGAAGACCATAATATGAAACAGAATAAAAAATAAATTTAGCATTAATTAAATTATTTTCCTGATACATTTTTTTAATGAAAATGTACTTGAATTATTTCAGTTAGAGATGTATCCTGCTTTTAGAAAGTTTTATGGTTTAACGGGATTTGTGTGTGAGTTAAAATAATGAAATTTTTAGTTTTTATAATTCTTCACACATACAAAGTTAAAGCAAACTTGATTTTAAAACTCTGGCCATATTTTACATTAATAAAGATTTAATTGGTGTAATAAAGATTTAGTTGGTGTATTAAGTACAATATATTTATTTTAATGTCAAATAATATTGAAGCAAGTTGCAATTTTTTGAACATTTAATCAAGAATGTAAAAAGTTTTATGTTTGGTTTGGTTTGGTTTGGTTTGAAACCAAAACAAAAAAAAATATCGTAAAATTCGTTAAACAATCAATTTAGAATAAAATAATCTAAGAATGAAATGATTCTTTAATAAACCTGCATTAAATCAAATTAAAATAGATATGTAACTTTTTTTGAATATTAATTATCAGCAATTAACATTATCATAAATTATAAATACTGTACCAACATATCGAAATAATAATTTCTTTGTTAATACGGTTTAGAATTCTTAAAATAACAGGCAAAAAATAATCCACAATTTACAATAAAATAAAAGTTTCGTTTAAATTTATTAATCAGCTGATCACTATTAAAGTTCGCAGAAACCCGGTCTATATTATTACATTACTCTGAGGAAAATAACGAAAATAATCGATATTTTTGACTCCGCCCCGAAAGGTTCACGATTTGTCCTCCAGTTGGCAGCACATTTTGTCTAGCCGGTTGGGCAACTTTAAGAATATATAAACAAGGCTGTTAGTTTTCAGTTTTTAATCATCTGCTGATGATGCTAACATGGTTAGCGAAACGCGCGTCCAGTGTAAAAGTAAAAGTGTTTTGGTGTATTGTGGTGATTTAGTGTTTTATTTTGCGGAAGGATTAAGAAACGGACGGTGTTTCCGTTGAGATTTTTTTTAATACAGTTTTTAATAGCCGTGGCACTTAGCGATTTATATATGTTATTCGTTATGGAACTTAGAACATTTTACAAATAAAACATGAAAAATCAATTTTTTGGCACTTAGAACATTATTTACTTCAAATCTTCAAATGTATTTCAGGAGCAGTAAAGGATGACCTTGAAAAAACCAACGCCGAGTCAGCATTGTTGGGCAGCAATTCCTTGGACATAAAACAGCCCAGATACGGCAACACTGAATGGCAACAGTTCCTCATTATACTAAAGAGGGCCCTCCTGTTCAGCAGAAGAGATTGGGTATGTTATCTTTAAACAAAAATCAGTACAAACTAATTTATTTTTATTTCTTCCAGACTCTGATGTACTTAAGGCTTTTTGCCCATATCTTGGTTGGTTTTCTCATTGGCGCTCTCTACTGGCAAATCGGAAACGATGGTTCTAAAGTGCTATCAAATTTGGGATTCCTGTTTTTCAATATGTTGTTTCTGATGTACACTTCAATGACGATTACTATTCTGTCATTTCCGCTTGAGATGCCCGTGTTGTTAAAAGAACATTTTAACAGGTGGTATTCGCTGAGAAGTTACTATTTGGCGATTACAGTATCGGACATGCCTTTCCAGGTAAGTTAGAGAAAAAATTATTTTTTTCATAGCAACTGTTAAAATTGCCTTATATCTATCAAAAATAGTATAGTTCAGTCATTGGGGATCAAAAAAGGGGCCTGCTTGGAAAAAAGTCCGGAAGTTTTGAAACTTTGCAGGTTTATAGGTTTTGGGGTCCCTAACTAAAATCCATAAAATGCACATTTCCAGACTTGCCGCCGGCGCCGCCATCTTGCCAAGATGGCGCCCAAAATCGGTATTTTGTAAATATCTCGAAAACTATGCGTTTTTCGCAAAAATTTGAAGAGAGCAAAATTAAAGAGAATAAAAATAATAGTAGGAATAAATTTCCTATAAAAAAGGTTATGTGAAAATTTTCGCTAAAGTCGACCGTTTAGGCACAAAATCCCTGGAAATTTTACAGTTTTGCATAAAGTATGATATACATATAGTCGATTTTCCGAAATCAAATGTCGATTAGGGTTCACTAAAACTAGTTTTAGTTTAGTTTCTTCAATTTTGTCATGAAACAGCGGCGTATCATTAATTTGCTCATTAATTTATGAATAACTAATTGTCGTGTTGGACAGCATTTATTGCGAACTTACCACCAGGTTCAGCAGTGGTCTGGTTGTACTAAAGATGCCCAAGAATGGGGTTGGAAGAAAACAAAAACAGGCATTACTCCTGTCACAACGTTGAAACATCCAGTTCCAAAATCCCTTTTGACATTTTTATCCTATAAATGCAAAACCAACAACTATGGTAAAGCCTGCGGATGCAGAACAGCAGGATTAAAATGTTCAATGATTTGTGCGTACTGGAATGGGAAATCCTGTGACAACGTCACTGAAGTGTCACTCGACGAATCCGATGAAGAGGAGTTGGACTTGTCTGTAGATATCCCTCTAGCGGCTGAAGATGAAGAGTTGGACGTTGGACGTATTGAGAGACCACCTTGATGAGCCCAGCACAGCAGATACGATCGACTTTGACATCAATGAGCCAGATCCGTCGGGCTTGTTTGGCAGATAAGTTAAAATTTTTAATTTATCTAGTGGAGTAGGCCTCCGGGGAGACCACGTTAAAATAAACGCGCCATGTACTTTACCTCTTGGGTGGTATGGAAACAAGTACACATTTTCAATAATTAAAATTAATTATTCGGAAAATCGACTATATCATATTTTACGCAAAATTGTTAAATTTCTAGGGATTTTGTGCGTAAACGGTTGACTTTAGCGCAAATTTTCATAAAACCTTTTTTATAGGAAATTTTATTCTCTTTAATTTTGCTTTCCTCAAATTTTCGCGAAAAACGCATAGTTTTCGAGATATTCACAAAATACCGATTTTGGGCGCCATCTTGGCAAGATGGCGGCGCCGGCGGCATATCTGGAAATGTGCATTTTATGGATTTTAGTTAGGGACCCCAAAACCGATAAACCTGCAAAGTTGCAAAACTTTTTTCCAAGCAAAAATCCCCAATGACTGAACTAGTAGCAAAATAGTACTTTAACCGGAAAGGTAAATTAAATAAAACACTTTAACAGCGAGGATAGGTTAAAAACTTTATTTCGTCCCATTGCTGACAAAAGTCACTAATTTTATTACTTCCGAGAAAAAAGCGTCTAAAGATGAATTGCATTGCATAAAGATGTTATAGTTAGTAACTATTCAGTATTAAAATAAAACATAAATAGCCAGAAATCGTAGTTAATGACTTTTGCAATCGATTCTCCGCTTAAAAACATAGTTAGTGATTGAATTTGGTTGTTCGGAAAAATGTTAGTTAGTGACTTTTGGCAGCAATAGGACGATTTCTTCTCGTACGTTTTTTAATTGCTTCCATTTCTGAATATTTTTGTATTCCTTTTCATAAGTTATTCGGGATTTAAATGGAAGTAGTTTGGATATGGCGTTTGTCGCCTCAGCCTAAATATCTGTTGGTAATTTACTTATTTCGTTTTGAGCCATTTCTGGCTCCAATTCAATCAGCATCGATACGAAAGAGAATTAAAAAATATTGACTCAAAACTGACAACTAAAGAGACAGCTTTATTTATTTGTCAAATTACATAGAAACCAATGCCAACCCAGCTCAATATTTTTTCTACTCGTAATAAATTCCTTGAAATAATAATTTCTGAATATTTTTTAAAACGTAACTCGCTATGGAAAAAAATATTGTTTTATACACGACGATAAAATTGCATTATCGTCTCCCGAAATTATTAAAAAGTGGTACTCGCGATTTCATCGCTCGTAAATTAATCTTTTCGCTTTCGGATAAAATACCATTTTATCGTCTTGTATAAAAAGAATGTTCTTTTTAATTATTATTTCTTATCTTTTTTTTATTTATTTTTTTTTACAGTAGTACTATTAATTAATTTTATTACAGACAATCTTTTGTGTGATCTACGTTACCATCGTCTACCTGATGACAGCACAACCCCTAGAATTCTTCCGCTTCGGTATGTTCCTTTCGGCATGTCTTTTGGTATCTTTCGTGGCCCAAAGTGTTGGTTTAGTGGTCGGAGCTGCCATGAACGTCCAAAATGGCGTATTTCTTGCCCCTGTCATGTCTGTACCATTCCTCCTCTTCTCTGGCTTCTTCGTTTCCTTTGACGCGATTCCTATCTACCTCAGATGGATCACATACCTCTCTTACATCAGATATGGGTTTGAAGGAACGGCTTTGGCTACATATGGCTTTGACAGGGTCAAACTTCAATGTTTTATCAGCTATTGTCACTTCAAATCCCCCATAATTACTCTAGAAGAACTTGATATGGTGGACGCTAGCTACACAGTGGACGCTGTGGCCTTGGTAGTTATATTCTTTGTTTTGAGAATCGCGGCATACTTGTTCCTTAAATGGAAACTAAAAACCAACCGTTAGCTTATTTGTTAGGCGTAAAATAGATTTTTTTTATTTTATTTTGGTTAATTTGAATTTATTTCATCTAAAAAAAACGTTAAAGTACTTTATTAAAATAAAAGTCGTTAGGTATATATTTCTTAGGCAAAACTATATTTTCTGATGTTATATAAACAGTTTAGGGGCTGTGAAATTTGTTAAAAAAATAATAAATGTTGTATAAATATGCTTGCCAGTAGATTAATGCCCAGGAAGAAAAAAATCCATGACTTAAAAAAATCATATTTCAACCAAACTACATGTTTGATTGATGATGGACCAATACTATAATGTTATATTTTTATATATTTTGTAGATTAGGTTTAAATATACGTATATTGGATAGGATAGTTTCTTTTTTGTATTTTTATGAGGGTAGTGAAATAAAATTATTACCATTTTTTTCTGTTAGAATTTATTTTATTTCAATAAATAAGTTATAATTATTTTATAACACCGATAACAACTGATACGCTACTGAAGCAGGTAAGTCAAACTGACGTATCTAAATTCTTTGACATTTAATCTTTGACAAGTAATAAATAAAAGCAAAACTGTAAGAAAAAATATATAATTAGTTAATTTTAAGTGAATTTCATAAATTATCAGTTTACTACACGTATGTATATTATAAATAGTCACTTACTAGTGAAAAGTTATTTCATTATTTCCCTCGATTTTTGACCGAGATCTACCGCACGCTAGGAAAAAGCAAAAGCGAAAACACTCCTCCAAAAAGAGGAGGGAGCAGAGGGAGCAACAGGGCAAGAGAGGGAGCAAGAACCTCTCACCTGTTCTCCGGCAGGGAGAGAAAAGAGCCAGGATGGAAAGCCGTCCAACACCGGGAGGCAAGCAGGGACATATCACCAGCTTTGCCGCTATTGCTGGACAAGTGAAAATGGCGGTGCTGCCAAAGGATTTCCCAGAGGTTGCTCTGACCACCGACCAGCAAACGTCTCTAGAAGAGGCTATACTGGACGAAGTAGTAGCGATCGGATCGCAACACAACGATCTACAAAATGTGGGTCAGCTGCGTTTTCCAGGGATACACTTTCGGGTGGGCATGATCCTCAGAGATTGTGTATCTCAAAAATCGGCGAATTGGTTGGTGGAAATCGCACCTAAGCTTAAAAATTGGCAAGGGCCGGAACTGGTTGCAGTGTAGGGAGAAAACATCCCTAAATGGGTGTCCATAACTGTCTTTCTGCCGAGGAGCAAGGAAAAAGACACCACCTACCTGCTGAGCCTTATCCAAGGTCAGAACTTCAATGTAAGGACATCGAGTTGGCGAGTCATCAACTCGAGGGAGGAGGGTCATGGTCAGGTCCTCACAATAGGAATTGACCTCAAATCCAAGGAGGCATTAGAGAAAGAGGGACATATATATCCTCTATTATAGATACGGGACAACACCGGTATCAGCTCTAAGGAGAGACCAAGTTAAAGAGGTGGAGAAAATAGAGATAGATCCTCCAGCCTCCACCTCACTCCAACTGCGAAACGCCAAACTCCAACCCTCGGAGGAAGAACTGTTGTCAGAGGAGGATGGGAAATACCCTGTCCCCTCTACAACAGGGGTATGATGGGTTATAGATTGTGTGATGACTCAAGGAAGGGGAGCACAATAGATAACCCCCTTTACTCATTCTACATTCTACCGCACGCTATACAATTAACTATTTTACAGTTTTTTTCGGTAAATCACAATAGTGTCACTGTTAATTTAAGTTCTGCTACAAAAAAATTTCCTTCTAGATTTACTACCTCTAAACAACTACCAGTTGTAGAATAAATAGTAAATGACATAGAATAAGCTTACTAAAGACTGAAAATCCACAAAATTTCAAATCAAATTCAAATGTATCAAGTAAATGGTCAAACAGAAATGTCAGGGTTTATGATTTAAATTTATTTCTCTGGTCAATTTGAAGTAATCTTTGGTGAAATAATACCAAAATTTAATACATTCAGCAGTATATTTTTGATTTTATTATGAAGTTTATATAAAATAGTAAACATGTAAAACAAGTTAAAATATATTCAGTCTTCTAGTCCTTTCTTTTCAGTTTTCTTGTCGTCTAAATCGACATTCATTTCGGGGATTTCGATTTTCTCAACATTTATGTCAGAATTAAGTGAAGACGAGAGGCTTTCCAATTTTCCGGATACTTCTTTAAGGGCATTAACTTTTCGTACTAAAACTTCTTCCTTTGAGTTTACCTTTGCGGCTGAAAACAACAAAAAGAGAATTGACTTAATTTAAATAATTTATAAACATATAACATGGAAGGGTGTATATATAAATCCGTCATGCGTCATCTCTTGTTATTTTTAACCAGATTTATTGGTTTATTTCAAAAATGACAGATCATATTTCAATATTATTGGTTTAACGGAACGATGAACGACAAACGGATGCCGCAGCCGATGCGTATGAACTCGACTTAAAATTTTTGAGAGTTGTCAAACTCATGCCAAATTATAGGTTATAGTTTTGTGTCAAATTATGTCAAATAGAAATGATAACTATTTTGCATTTTGGACTGTGGTATTACGTGTTTTTTTTAATTAAGTGGAGAAAAACTCAAAGGGGAAATTAAGTGTTGACCCAGACCATAGTTTACAGTTAATATTCGGTGCCCAGAGACAGTTTGCCAAAGATTATGGCCAAAGAGTTGTATTAGCCACAAATAAAGTTTGCATACTATCTTGTATATGATACCAAAAACTGGAGTATCTGTAAAATAGCAACACACGATAGGTAAATAACAATCATATTGAATAATTATATCAATAAATGTAACAATAAATGCAGTAAGTTGTTTGAAACACGGCTTGAAAGCAGAAAATATTTTTTATATCTTTTTTGTATGTGGTGTTTTTTAAAATACACCCTTGCTTGTTTTGTATTAACACATACTGTAATTGTTTTTAATAAAATAACTCAATTAGATTTTTTCAATTTTATACATTTTTTTTCACAATATTTTGAAGCAATTACTTGTCACTCAAATTTTAAATATATTAATTTTCTGCTATGCGTTCCAATTGTACCAACTTATTTCTTTGTAAAATAAAATAAACTACTTTGAAAATAAAATGACAGACACATCTATCACTGTCAAGGATCTTGTCGTTGAACAGACTATATTTCGCCACTGTAAAAAAATCGGCTTGTCAGCAGTGATTTACTATTAGACAAATTTGCCTAACGGACAAAAAAATGCTTAACGTTTCGGGAAGTATATCTCTTCAAGTTAATTCAAGTCGGAAGCAAAAAACACAAAGAACAAATAAAAAATATTTAAAATATCGAAATACAACTATTCAAAAACATTTTAGTTTTTTTTTCAACAGATCCATATATAAAAACCGTTGACTTTCTGTCAAAATGACATTATATCAAGTTACACTTCAAAATTAACAATTACCTGATAACAATTACTTAATGAGGAGAAACTAAAAACGCTCAAACTTTCTGTATGATTATTTTTTAATTTATTTTTAATTTTTACTTGTGTTCATTAAAATCAAAGAAGGGATTGCCATACATTGCTAACCTCTACAGAGCAATACGATTGTTTTTATTAGACTGCATTAAAAAAGCCTCTTTTATTTTTCGTTTAGAGGCCATGGCTTTTTACATAATAATTTTACCATTGTCAAAATCTACTCTGTGCCCGGTGTCCCATGAATGCTGACAAATCTTAGGTTTGTGAAAATCGCTCTTTCTTAAATTATATGTCTATAAATTAATTAAATAGTTTCTTTTCTTTATTCTTTGTAGTCGAGTAAAAACGATATGAAAATGTGTCAAAATATTTTTTGGAGGTATAACTACATCATATCTATACAGGATTATCAGTTAGGGCTTTGTGCATGTGAAATGACTAATTACGACCTTTTTGGGGGGGTCAGAAATTTTTTATCTCGGAAAATGTCAAAAATCTGTCAAAAATTTATAACCATGTTTTTTTACCTTTCCTACGCGATAACTCCTAAACTAATCAACTTATTCTCATACTCTTTTTTTTAATCGATTGAGAACACATAGGCGGTTATAGCTGAAGTAATTAAAGTTCCATAGTGAGTGTGTTTTCTTTTGGAAAATGGATTAAACTTCAAACATTGACTTTATTGTATCATGATTTTCGGTAAGCGAGAAACTTTTTTATTTGAAGGAATTTTTACATAGTATCTGCGTATGAAATAAAGTAAAAATATTGAAAAAGTTTTTAAAACTTGGTACAATCTTCTATTGCTAATACTTTTCTAGTTATCCTAAATTAAATTTACGAATAGGCCGCGCGCGAGACCGCTCGGGCCTCGCCGCCCCGATACTCTTCGATTTTATTTGGTGGCACGGCGAACGCGAAGTTCCGTAAGCCTATTTCTGATTATGTGCATTGTACCTGCAGTTTGAAATTTAGTACATTCTGTACGTTATAAATGATTTAGTTATGGACTGTTTAATTTACAGAAAAACTATTAACGAAAATTATAAGTTTTTTATTAAAAATCCTACTATACGAGACCTAAAAACTATCATAAATGCTGCGGAAAAAGGCAAGATGATGTGGCTGTGAAATTAAGCTAAAAAGATGATAATATAATCTTGGTTTTATATATTAATTAATAATTGTTAATGTATTATATTAACAGTTATTAATTATTAATGTATTATATTAACAAAAAGAAAACTAGTTAAATATGAGATTTGGATATTATAATAATGTGTTTGATATGTGATAAAATAGGAAAAACGGCCAAACATCACAAATTAACATCTAGACAGACAGGTATCTTATGTTGTTAACTATGTTCATAAGTTTTTTTAATTAATTAATTGATATGATTAATTAATAAAATTGATATATTCACTAAAAATCCATAGTCAGTATTTCTTCTGCCAACAGGGCTGAATAATTTCTCATAAACCAGAATAATATTAATTATTTTTATTTACCGTAAATCTTTTAATACGTGAGACACAAAAAAAATGTAGATCAAAAAAATTATTGGATTATTTAATAAAAAATTAAATATGTATTTATTTAAGTTTATAACCGTTTATGACCATGAATTTTTCACTGACTTAGATAATATTAATATAGTTTAAAGATATTTTTATAGTAACTCTTCCGGCTTTTATTGTTTGTGAAAAAAATGTTGTGCTGTTTTCTTGTGTGCTTTTTTTTAAATAGGTAATTATAGTTTTTGTGTTATAGATAGCAATTCATTCATCATGTGAAATATGTTATAAATGCTATTAAATACATGTGAATCACATATACATATTTTAATTTCTAATTCTACGTTAAAATTACTTTTAGTAAATTTTTTGCATTTTAATTGAAAGTATATTTATTTTTAATAAATATTTATT